GGTGGGGCATTGCTGTTGTTGCCACCTGCAGGAAGAGGATTCCAACCAGAAATAGCATAAAATATAGATTTAAAACAATTAGATTAAAATAGTACCATGTAAAGGTCCTCTGAATGGATGCTGGACCTGGATGATGCTGGGCATTGTTGGATTGAAGTACTGGTCTCAAATCTACAGAAACCTTAGGCCATGGCATCAAGCAAGTTACATGGCCAGAACGAATCTGCATCTTGGATCTGTCCATGCCAAGCAAGACCAGCGAATTCTCCGCATCTCGCGGAAGGTCGCGCCCCCAGGACCCTGGCCCCGTCCGTGGAATAGCCCGGCACATTGGCCACAGCCACCTCGGCGGCAACGCCGAAGGGTTGAGGCTTGGAATTGGCTGTTCAGAAGCGGGGAGAGTCAGTCCCCGGACCGGTGATTCACTTCACCACAGAACAAGGTATAGTTAACAGAGTATTACCGTCTTGGGATTCAATGGTGGTATGGGTCACAAAGTGTCCTGGATCTCCATCGCCTCCAAACTGTTGATTGTTTCTCTAGTGGCACAATAACTTCAAAAACATCCACAAAAACATGTTTTCATTGGAACCTAAAAATTACTGGATTGTAGAGGAAATTGCTAGTCTATTTTCAGTTCCATGTAAATTTTCTCAGGCGTAACACAACATCTCCAGAGGTTTGTGGGGCGTGCTATGCAGTCTTTTGGAATGTGTCTGACCGCCCGCACCAAGGTGAAACTCTCGCTGGAAGTCATTGTAGTTTACAGAGTGGACTAGCGGGGAGGGTCTCTCTTTGTCAACCTGTCACGGTGTATGGAACCCCACTGCCACCAATGCACCACCCTAACTACAACCCTAATATCAAGAACGGTCCAACGGTCCAAATCAAGTTGTAGCTTAGTAGCTGACTTGGCTGCCGATGTGCAGTCCAAGTACATACCATGCCCAAAGAGCACTTACAGTATATTATATATATAACCTGCATGCTAACCTGCATACCCCAAAAGCAAATATCCATAAATTAAATATCCCAAAGATCTACATGACAGCCTGCCCATGCCTGCCCACAGCCCCAAAGGCCAAAAAGGGCCTTAAGCCCCTTGGTCGAGGTGCATTTCTCTTCTTGCAGGCCTCTAGGTCCACATGGTCATAGCCTGAAGCATCGGCCATGCGTCGATTTACACGACGTCTACGCGACCAGCATGGTCGGATGGCATAGGTGTGTCACTTGATAGAAGTGCCACTTAAGTATGCCTAAGTCATGTAAAGCGCTTGATGAATCACCCCTCCCATGTTATGCTTGTAAAACCTCTTCGGGCTTGGGGGTTGGAAACATCATCAAGAGTCTACATGATGCCTGGCCTTCCAAGACCATTAAAGAAAGGCAGGCCCGGTTTTGTGCTCCAAAGTCCTGTATCAGGATTATATAGTACAAAAAAAGGCTTGTTTGGTGAAAACCCTGTAAGTCAATGGTGGGCCGGGAGGCAGTTACAGCAGATTGCCACATGTCACAGCTCCGTCTCGCGCTATAGTCCTGCGGACCGTACCTGTGAAGGCTACGGCCACCAGGCGCAAGCGAGGCAGCGTCGCCAGCAGGGCGTCATCCACCCGCCTCGGTAACACCATGGGCATCTCAACGAATTTGAATCAAACACTGGAGGCCAAGAGAGGTTATATAAGTGACCTTAAATAGGACCCTAATTACTGGACCCTGGGGTACCAAACTGGGATAGTCGGCCTGGGGTCCTTCAACCTCTGTTGGGGAGCAACCCCTTTGAAACCTCTGAAGCTCCGAGCTTCTTCCAGCCCACCCCTCAACCCCCTGCACGCCACCCCGACGAAGACCTCTTTGACCCAGCTGGCTGGGTGAGCCGGAAGAATCCCGATCGAAAATAAACACTAATAGAACACCTTCAGGAGTTGACTAGTCAATGGGGTGGCCCTAGGCAGCAAAAACCAAAAACCAGTGTATGAAATAAGGAGACCTCCCAGTCGAGCCGGATGACATCACCCCATTTTTGCTCGGAAGGTCACTGACTCGTCACGCCGTCCCGGCTCCGCCGAGCCATCCGCCCAGATCGGCCTTTTCACGGTGACCAAGACAGTGGCATGCTGAAAGTCGTTCCAGCCATGATCTTCGTTGGCCCAAACCACCTGCTGCAGGTGGTTGGGACCTGCACCCCTTGGAAGGTCCTGGTATGAATGTGATCATGTGCGACTGAGAAAACAAAAACATCTCGCTATCTATATATATATATATACCAGGAGTCACAAAGGGGTGTCCAATGAAGTACCCCACTACCTATAGACTTCCATTGGGCACCCCTTTGTGACTCCTTGTATATATTTCACTTCTTGCAGTGGCAAGGTCTGTTTCTTGTGCATCTTCCACTTTCCAGCCACTCACTCGGATGTCTCACTCGCTCCGGGGCCGGACGGGCATGCTACACCGGACATGCGAAAAGAGTGCTACTTGTGCTACTCAATCACCCACCGTGGCGGTTTCCAGATGTTCTATTCTATGAGAACATGATGGAACTCTTAGCTCATCTAGAGGACATTAGAAGACTCATACAGACTCATGCGTACATCATATTTAGATCTATTTAGTTATTTACTGATTCCAACAAGGACGCATCTCCACCACTTGCAGGGACGCAATATGACGCAATCATGCACCAGAAAAAAAAAAAAAACAAAACAAAAACAAATGAAAAAAAACACACACACCAGTACCTTCCATCCAGGACCGAAAACCCTCAACACCTTTATCTTGCATCCCATGATCTCCCAGCCGACCCCTCTTCCCCCAGCCCGCCCCTCTTCACGACCCGACCCACCTTGAGTTCATGTCGACTAAACATCTCCTCCACCGTGGTCCTGGACCTCGACGCCCGGTAGTCGGCCCGGAAGCCCTTAGGAACTCCATCTGCCGACCCCGAGCCATCCTCGGAGCACCGGGTGGTCCACCTGCCCCAATCTCCCGACCGCCAGCGATTTTCCGAATACCCCACGAATCTAGCACAATGGCCTTCTACACCCACAAGCGTAATTGGGACCGGAAACAAATAAAAGCATCTCTTCCCGGAAGCGATTCACCCACATGGTCACATGGCATAGACATGCATGTGTACTAGCAGTGCAACACCCCTTAGTACCAAACAACATCCGTGGTTCGGGACTCAGCCCCTGAAATGAATGGCCAGGAAGCCTATAGGGAACAATCACAGGCCTCTTCACCAGACTCCGGCGGCCCCCAAACCCAGGCCCTTTGGTGCCCGACATGGCATCTTCTGAGGGTGACTCCAGCATCGCCACGATCGGAGGTCCTAGGTCCTCCTCGCCTCCGGTCCAGCGGCCGTAGAAACACCGAGGACGGGTGCAGGAAGGAGAAGTGACTGCCAGAACATCCATGGGGCTGGAAGATAGATTTCGTTCAACCTACCCCGATCCGTTGAACCCCCCTGTCGTTCGGCCAATTGAGATGCATATGATGTCAGCCCCACACAGCTCGTCTTGTCTCACTTAGACGAAGCCGTGACGAGATGGCGCCGTCTCAGCGACTTGGTGGTGCTGACCCTGGGAGTCGAGTCTGCTAGACTAACCTGACTCAATGACCTTCAGCTGGTCAGTTCAGAACTTCATGAAACCTTCAGCCGGTCAGTTCAGCAAAAGGATGCAAAAGGCGAACTGGACTGGCGGGGGTAGGGTGGTAGGCTAGGTAAAGGGAAGCCCTATCATGGGACTTCTATGTGCAAAACACGGGGACCCTGACCAGCCAGGGCTTGGAGCTCCAGGTTTTCGCCTGCCATATCAAAGCAACTAGCAACTCTTGCTCTTTTAACTATAGGCCTAAGATGGCCTAAGCCTATGGTAGTAGATTTTGAGAATTCATGTTTCATTGTGCTTCAACAAACTCGGCGAGCATCTTTGTCCATACAAAAGTGCTGACAAACCGGGTATATAACCATCTACGGTGTATTCAGAACCCGCATCTTCCAGGTTCTCTCCTTGGGAAAGAGGATGCTGCTGTACAGGACTGGCTGCCCTTCATCTCTCCGTTCATCGTCTTCGGCACCGCCCCGCCTTGGCTTGAGCCGGCAGCGTCCGCCGCTGGGCTCTCGGAAGGACCCGCCAGTGGTGGAGCAGGCGGAGCCGCAGGAGGCGCATCGGCCTCAACCGCGGCGAGTCGAGGCCTGTGAACCCCAACGCTGCGTGGCGACTCGACCAGCACCTGACGCTCACAGGTCACCACCTGCCACGTCTTTCAAGTCTGCAAAAGTCACCAAAACTCGGAGACCTGTTGGAAGGTGCTACGTAGAGATTCTCGAAATGATGGCTGCAAGTGGTGACGTGATCTGGCAGGTGGTGACGTGCTGGTATGGAAGATTTGACTATGACTATCAGCTAGGTGATTGAAAGGAGCCACTGTTATTTTATATACCCTAGGATTCATGCTCAACCATTGTTTTAATGTTCTGAATCCCAAAGAACTATTGTTTTACTAAGGATTTGTTACACTACACCACCAGCTCAACCGTTCTTTTAATGGTCGAACTGAAGGCGAACGGGTATACATTGGGACTGAGCTCTTGGGAGAGACGAACATGACAAACAAACGACTGTTCAAGTGGAGCAGAGCGATGAAGTTGCAGGCAAGGCCCAGTCACTAGAGCTGGACGAGGCAACTCCAAGAATCATCCAAAACAAAGGGCCTAATGAACCTGAGGACTGATCTACAACATGTCATGGCGGCCTTCTTTCATGAACATCCTTATTCACTCTTACTCTTTGTCCCACTGGTTGGATAAAGTTGGAGATCTTGACTCTTGGACAACCACAGGTGAACCCACAAAGAGTCCATGTCTTTACCATTTTTCTCCTTCCTTTTGTCCGTTCTGGGTCTCCTCAATTGATGGACGATGGACGATGGTCGCGCGCCGCACCCCTCGCCGCTTCGCCCGGAAGCGAAGCTGATCCTCCTTTTCACGCGGCCAGCGGAGGTGCGAGACGAGCCCGGATCAGTCGGAGTTCGCCGGGCATGAGAGATCCAAAGACAGCACTGGTCGAGTTTTTGAACCAGTGCGCCAACACCTGCGCACCCCCGAAGATGGGTTTTCACATCTTCTGAGGCCCAAAGCTATCTCCGGAAGGTCAGGGAAAGCCGGCTTCCTTCACGTGTGCCGACCACGTCGCGTAGGTCACGGCGCGCCGCAGAGCCGACCAGAGCCGAGGTCCCACGCCCGAGCAGGGCGCCCCACCGGTGCAAGCCACGGTTCCCGACGTGGAGCTGCACCGGTCCTTTCCCCCAGCTCCGTAGCTTCATGCGTCTCGCTACCAACTTGAGGTCAAGTGACCTCATGATCGGATGACCCGTCTGTCACCTGGGGTACCTGTGGTGGGATATGTCAAGAGGCTTCTTCAACCTCTGTTGCTTGTGAACTCTGCCAAGCAAGCTGCAGCACCTCGGGCTGGTTGGTGGACAAAAATCGATGAAGGTCATCCATCTTGGAGCGAATGTCGTTCCACCCTGGCAAGCAACACTTCGGCCAACACGGCAGTAGGGCAGTAGGAATACCTGGGATCGAAGATCCTCGCCACAAGACAGGTCTGTGGATGCCACATGGAAAACTCCCGCGCCCTCAAAAAAATCAAGAATCTGCTGACGCGTTTCCTTCAGATGATTCATGCGCAATTCACTTGAACAATATGTGGCAGTGGGCTGAATCATCCCAAGATATCCTAGTGAAAATGCTAGAGGTATATGCAAATGAGGTTGAGATGTTCAACCTCTCCTAAAGGGCCACATATCAAGAGTCTCAACCAAAAAAGAAAAAAAAACTCGGTTCCTACTCAAGCCGTGGCCATGACAATGGTCGCGAGTCGCATGGACATGTCCACGTCCTGGCCAGTGTCATCGTCAAGGCTTGCATCTCTACCTGATCGCGAGCCAGCACGGTCAGGAACCCCAAACTGCCAGCAGAGGTGGGTCAGAACCCTAGTTCGACTATCCTAGTTGGGTACTCCTGTGGGGTCCTAGACTGGGTCCTAGTTCAGGTCACTGGCTACCTCTGTAGGTGGAAACTCAACAAGACGGGCCCAGTGGATCGGTCGACCGGGCCCATTCGATCGGTACCAGCGGTTCGGAAGGGAGGTGCTTTTTTTCAGGGGCGCTCTGACAGAACAGTCCCCCAAACCAACCCTTTTTCTAGGGATCCAAGGTGGTGTGAGGTACAATACCCCCAGTGATCAACACTCTTGGGCCGCTCCGACATTTCCCAAACACTCCATCTACTTCTGCCATACTTGATGCCGACATTGACGCCGGCACCACCACCACCCCCCCACTGGATCGGCAGTCCCATGGGCAGTCCCAGTGGGGAGGTCGTGTGTGGATCAAAAGTGGATGCGTTGGACACACCCAAACATCCGGTTCCTGCGCCCCTGTGGCGCGTGGATCGCGTTCGCGAATGATCCGCTAGTGGCACCAGGTTCCTTGAGTCCAAAGATTGAGCAATCCCGGACTCCCAAACCATCCATCTGGAATAGTTGGTTAGGTCTTAGTGTACATTGACCCCATTGATGACTTCTCATGTGTGTAACTATTCCATACGGATGTGTACATAATATATATATATATCTGGTCTGAGTCTGAGTGGAACAGATCTCCAGACCTGGCAGGAGTTGTTACCTTGGAGCTTGGGCTGGCATATGAGATGTTGCACAGGTAAGCTGGTACACGCCCTGGTACACGCCGCCCTGGTACACGCGCCTGGTACACTCCCCACCATTCAAAACCAGGCGCCCAATGATTGAACTTGATTTGCCCCAGGATGCGGTCCAGCTTGTGCATCCAACGTGGATGCACCACTACCGTTGGAAAGTGCGAGACTTTCGGACCGGTCCAAGCCTGGCTCTGACGGGATGCCCTCAGGGCATGGTGTTAGTGACAGAGTGTAATCCTCACACCAACGACCCATACAGGCCTACAATCAGGTGGTATCAGGTGGTATATGTGCCTACATTCACCCCTGAAACCACCCCAATGTGGGCAAATATATGACATACTTGGAGTGTCTAGGACCTGGGATTCCTGGAAAAAACCGGTTGCCAATCACAGTGACCACCCACACGTCGATTTCTGAACTTGGCTACGGCTGCCGGGCTGCCGGGCAATCCCTGAAAATTTCTGCTCATTTGAAGGATGGACCAAAATTGCACCAGCAACCTGCTTCTAGATTGGACTATCTTACGATTCCAGTGATTCTAGTATTAATATAGATGGTCATTGTTCTGTGAGTGCCTCTGGCACGGATGCCCAGTCAGCTTCACATGGAAGTAGTCACATAGCCTGTCCTTATCCAAAAAAATACTCATTGATTACTGCAGTAGATGTTCCCTTCTCTCTCACCGCGGCATCAAGCTCCGATGCCGCAAAATACGCAACATCAGCGAAGACCAAAATTCATCCGCAAAATAACTTCAGAACTTTCCACCTTTTCCTGGGTGATCAATGTAGACTCTTGATTGGTAAAAACCCCATGTCGATGAATGAAGTTCCTCTTCCTTGGGGGTTTTTAATTCATCCAAAGTCTACATCAATTTCATCCAAAGTCTACATAAATAGGAGAGCCCTTCCTGTTCGTTTGCAGCTGCCAGTTCTGCGCTCCCTTCTACAAAGCTTGAGCGAGGCGCTAGGAGCCGATGCAGCGGTGGGTGCCACGATTCTGAGAGGATCACCGGAACGCAGCCGTGCTGCAGGACGTCGAGGAAGCGAATGGTCCAGGGGTAGTGGCCATCGAGGACCTGGGAAGCGAAGCTGGGACATGGGAGCTGGGACATGAGAGCAGCTGAATATCTCTTTATGTTTGGGCTCTGGAATGTGGAGGACGCTGGTTTGAAGATGGTCTGATCCACAAAGAAGGAACGTCCTGAAATCGGTCAAAATAGAGTTAAACTGGACTTCTAGGGATGATAGCATGATGCTAAATGCTTTTGCATGCTTTTGAGGGGGCATCTGGGGGCTCTTCCAACGAATTGGATGGCCTTCTCAAACCTCTCTGGTGTCTTGTGCTTTTGGGACTATCTCAGGATCGGCCAGGAGGATCTTGGGCTATTATAAGGAGCGGATTTGTCGTTGAGATTTTCCCAGATGTACTACGGATCTAAATCTAAAGGATTTGAGAACCCCAGGGTGAGAACATCATTTGCATTTAAGGATCAGTGTGGCTATCCAGGAGGGGATGCAGGCAGATGCAGGCTTGCATACTCAAAGGGCTTGAACATACTCAGTGAGCTATGGACCCTTCAGAACTCCAAGATGCTCCAAGCATCTCAATGCAAAGTCATCAGCTGTCTCCGCTATCCCTCTCGTCTTCCGGCCAAAGAACATGGATTTCTTGCTTTGCCCCCTTTCAATCCAAGCTCCCGAGCCGCGCGCGTTGGCGCGCGCAAGAGCACACGTGTGAAGCAGAAAATGGAGCCAAGGCACTAAGCAAAAGCGGCTTTGCTGCAAGACTTGACTGTAGAGGTTCTTTTCATGTACAGTCTCCATCACGCTCAAGCCGGTGCGATTCTTGCCAAGCCAAAGGTTCAAGAGATCTTGCCTGACGATCAGGAACTGAAGTGCAGGTTTGCGCAGGCCCCAGGCCCCAGCATTCTGCAAATATTAATCTTCCCTGAACCCCAAAAACCTTCTCTGAACTTTTGCTTCACAAAACAAACTCTCAACATCTCTGAGTTGGCTATGGGTCAAAAGCCGGAGCTAGTTTCACGTTGACAAAGGAACCGATTCCTTTTATTTCAAGGGTCAACCAGGGTTTTCCCCGGGACACACCCGCGGAACGCTCCCCCGAATTCCCGCGGAACCTGGTGCAATGTGTAGGCGTCCCGATGAAGGAGGCCAGCAAGTGACGCCCATGCGGGCCGCGCCAGAGCTTTTTCCTCGCTGCGGTGTGGGTCGAGGGCCCCGCTCGGCCGCGCTGTTCCGCCCGCGAGGGTGGCGAGAGGATGGACCCGAGAGGGGCTCACTCGACCAAAAGAACGGTGCATGGTCGAGGTCGAAGCGGCGGAAAGAGGCGGAGAGAGGTGCCAATCAGAACCCTCTGGCGAATCCCTAGACTTCAGTTCGACCATTAAAAAACCAAGGGAACGACCTGGTTTTTGTAGTGCAAAATCCTTAGTTGATTCGGGATTCTGCCTTTATTGAATTAATGGTTGTTGGAAGCCTAGGGGGGTGGTTGGGCAGGAGCAGCAACTTCACCGCGCAACCAACGTGGACCATGGTTTGAAAGAGCGAAGCCTAATCTCATAAGGCAAGGATAGGCAAGGCTCGTATCAAAGGGAGAAGGATACTGCATCGTCACATCCTTGGCGTGGGCAAACACGGACAAGAAACTTCCAAATTGCAGAAAAGGAACCGAGTACTAGAATGTCTCTCTGTTGAAAAATGCAGCCATCTTCCATGCTACAGTGTGCAGTCAAAAACAGCTCACAAAGATCTGGTTGGCCGGCAAACCTAGTACAAACCATCTACCTTCCTCTCTCTCTCTTGCATGCTACAGTCGGTTTACAGTCGGTTCAATATTATTTGCCACTGATGTGCAACTCCCCCTAAAATGTCTATATAAACGCTATAGGCTGCTCGTGCGCAGTTCCAAAAAACGCACGCCCCCTGGGGAGCAATGGGGCCTTCATCCGAAGGACGGAAATAGACAAAAAAGGTGGGTCACATCCAGAGCTTGATTCGGCTGTGGATCAAGACAAGGATACCGGATGCCTTGGTTGACCTACCTGGAAGGTCAAGCTACATGGCTCTAGGTTTTGACCCATCCCCATTTCAAGTGGAAGTGACCCACTCGACAACTGGGATGTAACAACGACCATGGAAGCAAGTTGAAACCATGAACTTGAGCATTGATGCAGCTGTTGCAGTATATACTTGTGCGATGTTTTACGACCAATTTTTAAACCTGGGACCTCCGCCTATATGAATTAAAGTGCTTTACGATGGTGTCCTTCTGAGCCAAGCTGTGAAAACTGATTTGACTCGGGTGGCGTGCTGTTCATAGCAATGAGAAAAAGATTAGGTACAAAAAGGGCCACTTCACTTAGTAGAGGCTGGACCTTCTTCATCAGGAACGCTTAGGGTTTGTACCAACCAAGTTTGGGAACCGCGTACCCCAATATATCTGAACCAGTCGCATCACTCCCTTTCCCACCCGGCCACATGAAAAGGTGACCCAGTGCCACTCTCTATCCTGCCAGACAAGATTCATGAGGCCATGTGTCAGGATAATAATAATGTGCCTTGGTGGTGCCGGTTCTTTGAACCCTGTGAGTCTTCCTTTTCCCTCATGGCCTTCTCCGGGACTGCAGAAGGGAGTTCTAGCTCTCAGAACTAGAACCGATTCCCTGAAGCCATAAACATGGCCAAATGACCGGAAGAACCTCCTTGGCTTCCCTTAGAAACGGCCTTAGACTTTACAGGTTCAGCTATGTTCTTGTTTCCTTCTTCTCAGTGAGCCGAAATTACATGCCTATGAATAAAAACAATTAAAAACAAAATCCATCACCCTACTCGGTGTGCTTGTCTTGAACATGCTGATTGGTGACTTGAACTGAGAATGTAGCGATTGTAGCTCACTCAAATGTTAACATGGCGCAGTCTAGAGTCTATATATTTGTCTTACACTTACCAAGAGAGGTTAAGTGACCTTGCAGGACCTTACTGGGGTACCCAACTGGGATAGGCTAGTTCGGGTCCTTCAACCTGTGCTTGGTATATACACACCTTGGCAAGGCTAAACCGCTCCTCCTGGCACCACGTGGGCCTCCCCACCCGAACCTCTCTCCACAATGACCCCCCCACGCCGGCCAGGCGTCATGGCCCGAAGCAACCTTGGACTTGCTTGTGCTGGCGGACGGGCTTCAGGAACTGGGAGAGCATACACATGTAGAGTCTTGATATGTCTTGATCATTTTAATGACCCCTCCCATTTGGATTGCGAAGCTCCTTCATGATCTTCATTATGCGGGGGTTCTTATATGTTCCTATGCTACATATGGATTTGCTCGGTTCGGGGAATTCATCCATTCTTGGGGTGCGAGGCTGCAAGTGGAAGCACCCTCGGACTCGACCAGTTGGGGCAACATCACCCGCCAACGGCCCCACCGAGCGGCGCTGCGCTTGGCCGAACTGCACCGCGACTCGAAGTCCGTTGCGTGCGCTGAGTCCGCGTTCGCGTGCGCCAAGGAGTCCTGGAGGCGGGAGTGAAGCCACAAAGCCTTCGCGAGGATTGGCATGGGTCTTTCCCAAAGAAGTTCTCAGTTCTGAAGGATGGCTGATCCCTATGCCTAACTAGGGATTCACAGGTGGTACCCTTAAAATACAGCTCTCATGATGGCTGCAAGTTGTCAAAAGTCGGACATGAAGAGAAGCAGCCTTGCCGCATGGCACTAAGAACGTGCTGCAAGCCGCCAAAGGTTGAATCCATCAATGCAAAGCACGAACTCTTTGGAAGAGAGAGAATGAGAGAGACGTGCATATGTTAAGATGTGCATATCTGGACATGTGCGGAGGTAAGTTGTGATGATGCTCATGTTGTTGATCCTGATTTCCTTTAAAGAAGAACTTAGAACTCTTTGCTCTGGCGCTCTCAGGAATTCATGGAAAAAACCTAGAGAAAACCATTTCAGTCACATCGGACGAGAAATCACATGGAAAACAAAAAAAGAACACGAAATTCAAGAGGTCCCAGGGATGGTGGGGGCCAGAGAACCTGTATTGTTGATATTGTTGTTGTTATTGTATGTTTTTCTGTTTTACAATGTTTTGATGTTTTGGGAACTTGAAAGGTTGAGAAGAGTGTTAACACAATATACTATGTTAAGTGATGTTTTGCCAACAATTGGCCTCCACTTGTTGCATATGTATTCCTGTTTGTTTTCTCCTTGAAATTTAAGATATGTTGTTTTATACTGCATTGTAATTACCGTGTTTTGTGGCATTCCTTTATTTAGAAAGTCGCACTCATTGAGTTCGATCGTGTCATGGACATGTCCCTCGAAAGGTGCGATGACACTCCCCGAAACAATCAAGGAGGTGGACAATTTCGGCCTCTGGAAGACCATTTTCCTCTACAAAGGGGTCCTGGTCAGCTTCCATGATTGTTGGAGGGAGAGTATATTACCCAGACACTCCATGGGACTGCCATATATCCCTACATTGGGGTGGTTTTGGGGGGGTCAATGTAGGCATATATGCCATACATGGAGTGTATGGGTTATACATATGCCAGGACCCAACTCTACGGGTCACCCCCGAGCCCTTCCCAACCCTTAACGAACGACCTGGTTGGCGAGAAAGGAAAGCCTGAGGACTAGCCCTACGACGGCAGGTGATCCACTTCAAATGGTGGGCAGGCGGTGGCCTGTTCCAAATACCGAAACGCTATGAGCTGGCACCAAGTGCCCCAGTGCCCCCCACAAGACGGAACAACGCGACCCATTCGGGCTCCGTAAAGGCATAGGCATTGGATGTCTGCAGCCAATTCGTCGATCCAGCGTAGGTGACCACGGTCCTTGGGTTGATTCGAAGCCCTGCTCTTCTTGAACGTTTCAAGTAGCCAGGGCAGAAGTTTCTCCCCCAGGATCCCCCCAGGACTTTCGACTCGTGACCTCTTCATGATTTGCAGGTGTCCTTCTCAAAAACCAATTCCGGAATCTCAAAAGGCCACTGGAAAGGTTCAGGTTGTTGATGTGATATTCAAACCCGTGAGCTGCAATTGGTTGTGGGCTCATCGCCTGTGAATTAAGCACTATATAAATCTGCTTGGCCACATGTAGAGCAACCTTTAGCGACGAAATGGTCGATGTTGTTTCTGACAAAAAATATCCCGTGCACTTCTCACTATGTCAAAATCCAACACGACATGATCTACTCCCCTTCGGCTCCAAAGCACGCCACATGCCAAGAAAAACGCGATCCATCCACAGCGCACACGGGTTTCTTGTAGTCTACATTGTAGACTCTTGATGATTAACGCCATCCATGTGGATTGATTGGATCGAAAGACCTCATCATGGGTAGAAATGCAGTCAAGAGTCTACATGACCCCTAGCCATTAAAAGAAAGGCTGACCCCCTAGCCATGTAGTCAAAAGATGTCCCAAAATCCAGGCGAAATCGGCGAAATCGGCTAATAACTAAACACCCCAAACTTCTTGCTGTCCAAGCGACGCCCTCTGTGCTTTCTTCGAGCGCAAGGCCGGGTGCAGTAAGCGTCCGTGGCCCGTGGTCATCACCACTAAGGCCGTCTCGTTGGGCCAGGCGGACACCCAGCCTCAGAGCGGAAAGGTAGGGCTGGGGATGATTCCGCGTGAGGAAGGGGTGGGAAGAGCTCCACGAGTGAAACCAGTGGTTGAAGGACCCGAGTTCGACTATCCCAGTTTGGTACCCCAGGTTTTCCGGGTCCTAGTTCAGGTCACTGGCTACCTGTCTTGGAGTGAACCCAGTGAAACTCACGGACGAGGAAGGGGCTCCGCGGATTAGTTTAGGAAGGTTTACTTCTTGAAAGCAGATCCCTAGGAACAAATCCCCTCCCCTTGAAAAGGGGAGGTGGAAGTCTTTGGAGATGGGAGAGTTGGTGTGGAGGAAGGTTCAACAGTGCACTCAACTTGAAGGAACTTTACTGGACAGCCGGCCCTCTACAATCCTCTACACACATTCATGTTCCGACCCTTTTACCAAAGACTCCCACCCAAAGCACCTCTTCTGATTGATCAATGAAGTCTTAACACTCTGTCAAGTGCGTGCTGACAAAAACATAGCACCTTAGCACCTGAAGTAACAATACTGTAATTAGTATGAGCTGACTCTTCCATAGGCCATAGGCAAAGCAGCCCGGCCTTCTGCTGCCTTTCATCCCAGCCACTGTTTACAAGCTGTTTACAAGCTGAAAGGGTGCTCCTAGTGCTCCTGTTAGCTTGTTGGCTCCGCAAGTTGTTCCACCCCTTCCAATCGACCAAGTTCCACATGAGGCTGTAACTCAACGGTGTCCTTCAAACCCATCCCACAGACTTGCTTGAAGGAACCTGGACAAAACACACCTATTCCCCACAAAAAGGTTTACCCAGTTCGGGAAAATCACCAAAACCTGATCCGCAAAAACCAGGCGAAACCGTGTCAAACCAAATCCCGAACCTCTGAAGCTCTGCCCTCCAGGCCACCGGTGGCCAATCATCCGCCACGACGACCCCTCGTGCCACCCCCCGTGCCACCGGGCGCCCACGACGACCACGGGATCATCGGTCATCCCAAGCTGCTTCGGATTGGGCCGCCCAGGGAGGACAGAATCGATTGCCAGCTGGCCTCGTTCCGCGGGCCGTCGCTGCCACCCGGCGGGAGACGCGGGAGACGCGCGACCAGCCGCGTCTCCCGCGAAGGAAGCAAAGGGCAAAGGAGACGTCGCTGCAAAAGAAATGCCGGTTTGGCGTTTGGTTGGGAGTTGTAAAAAGTCGAGGTAGGGAGAGACGTTGCCACAAGTGGTGGAAAGCTTCACCCTAAGAAGTCCCAAGATTATTTTTGGCACCACCCAAGAACAGGAAATTGAAAGTTCAGGTCATCCAAAAACATCCAAAAACAATTTCTAAATAGTCTTTGAATGTCTTTGACTTCCAGGATTCATTTAGGGGTCTCTCTCTCTCTCTCTCTCTGTGCGCTTAGCTCTCTCGCCCTTGGGAAGTCCTCTGAGCATCTTGACTTCGACTTCACCCGAAACGATGCCCACCCCAGGCTGCTGCTTTCAACACCAAACCAAGCATGAACCAACACCCGGAAACTCCATACAAACCCAAGACTTGAAAGCTGTGAGGTGTGCCCAAGGGGGTTAATTTACGGTCTTTCATAGCATCGCTCTACGGATTCTAAAGGAAACATCTACAAGTGCAGCAAACAAAGATTTGGGTAATTAGGTGAAGCTGTTCCACGTCAAGAAGTGGTTTCAGAGGTTCGATGGCACTGGCACAAACCTCAAGATGTCTTAAACAAATGGGGGTTCATATAAACAACCGACCTTGGGGTCTGTGCCATCTACCCCAGAGTGGCATATATGGCATACATGGAGTCCTGACATGGAGTGTCTCAATCCACTACTCAATCCACGATATTCCATGGTGTTCCTGCTCTTTGCATCTGTTTGCCAACTCATTGTGATCCAACGGATATGGTTGGTGAGAACACCAGGTGATTGCATGTGATTACCATGATCCAAATCATTTGGTTAAATCAGGGTCAAATATGTAGAAAAGTAGACCCCACCAAATGTATTGGAAAACCCTGCCACTATCTATTTGGGGATCAAGATAGAGTGGTGAGATCCACGATTGACCCACTAGATGGTCTTCAGGCCGAAACAGGCCTTGTACTCGCCAGTCCGTGCGAAGGCCAAAAGGATCTCCTCACCGCCAACGGCGAGACCGACCGCGGCAAATGACGGTTGTTGCGGGCGAGACCGAACACGCCCGGCTGAACGCCCGGAGGTTCAAAGGGGAACAGAATGGACCAACATAGCAACCTGTTGACCAGATTTACCCATATCTGGATCTTCCAACTGACAGTTCCCTCTGCCTTTTCATCCGAAAAACAGCCAAGGCTGGTTCGGCTGGTTCAGTTTGGCATGTTCAGTTGGTTCCAGGACCGTGTCTACGGACCGAAGGTCATGACCTGTCGATCTCTAGGGTGTTTCCCCCCGTCAACGTAAGGTGAAAAATGATCACTGAGGTTGGTTGGTTTAAAGACCTCTGACCTTTCTTCTTTAGATCTTTTGAGTAGACCTTTTGACCTGTTTTCTTCATCCACTGGGACCTGGTAATGAGAGATGCCCAACTTGGATCCTTGTTTCCAAGGCATTCTTGATTTGGGGAATGGAAGGTGAAGAAGCACGACAGGAAGTCTTGGGGTTGTGTATCGAGTGAGGATGTCCAATGAGTTTGACCAGCTAAACCCAAGGTTTTGCTATAGCTTTTAGATCACCGACGCAGCTAGTAGTTGAACGGTCTCGAGCCATGTTCCTGCTACAGGACTTGTCCATCAGGTGGTTGGTCAACCACAACTCACTACAGCATGTAGGTGTGACACTCTACCAGGACCCTCCAAGGGGTGCCCAATTGACTACCCCACACTACCTATAGGCTTCCATTGGGCACCCCTTAGAGGGTCCTGGCAGTTGTCACACCATTTCGAGTCTAAAGATGTCGGTTTTGGTGGAGCCGGATGATGTGTCCTGCTTCATGTCGACGATTGATGAACGTCAGAGAAACCGTCTACATTCAGTCTACATGGCTTACTTGAGATCCCTTACTAGAGGAAGTGGCTGGGCTGGGGAGCGGTGGCTGGGACCTGGGGAGCGGTGGCTGGGACCTGGGGAGCGGTGGCTGGGACCTGGGGAGAGGTGGCTGGGACTGGCTGTTTGGATTCCATGTGCCAGTGCACACTGCCAAGTTGTTGATTGAGGCTTGGGAAGGGCCTGAAGACAGGTGAAACGGAGGGTCCTTGATGGACAGAAGAAAGGATGGATGGACAAATACCAACACAAATGGAATCAAATGGACATGTAGAAGGAGGGATAGGGACCTCCCCTTGGTTGCTGCTGGGGGGGTTGGCATATGTTGGCATCCTTCTTCCATCCTGCCCTTGGCGTTTTGCTTGTGACAGCTTCCAGCACGTCTCATTCGAGAGCAGTCCACCCAACACAGCATTGCCATGGATGCACGAAGCCCGGTTTTGCTTGACCTGACCCTCCGGACGATACCGAGCGTCCAAATCATGGCCCAGGCAATTCATGGCCGTCTCGAAGTGCCCCAACCTCGAACGCGCGGAAGCGGGAACCGCGCGGAAAACAGGGGGCTTTGGGGGGGTTCCAGAGGGGGTGGTGTGAAAAGGTCCATCAAAAACGGGACATCGGGTCACTGATCCATTTAAGAAAAGCCCTCCCTCGATCGATCGCAGTCTATATTTGAGTGCGAGCTAGCATGCTTTCGCCCTTGCCGGGGTAGGGGGGGCTGAAACCATGCATGGTTTCAGCCCCAGTAGTTCTGGCCCCCTCCACGGGGCTCTAGGCTCCAAATCATTCTGTTTCACCAGTGTTCAAGCAGCAAGTCCACAAAAAGGTGCCGGTAGAACAACAATAAATAAACATTGAAATCTATTGATCGACATATTTCCATGTCTGTTTCACTATATGACCTGTCAGAACAGGGAAGCTCAACGACATGGTGTCCGACGGTGTGATTCCTGGTATAAGCCAATCAAAAGACAGGCTTCCCTATATATAGCCTTCCGTTCGACCGGCTTCCAAGACTTCGACCTGGCAAATGGGGGGCTGAGTCTCCGACCCCCTTGGGGGTCGGGCGCGTTCCAGTGATGACTTGGATTGTCCAGAAACCGGGGGGCAAAAAGAATGGTTCAGATCCTGCCCGATAGGAGTGTTCTTCCAAGACAGGTTAAGTGACCGTAAATAGGACCCGTCACTTGGGGTACCTATGGGATAGTCGAACTAGGGTCCTTCAACCTCTGTTCTTTTTTTTTGGGGGGGGGAGGTCAGTGTCAGCTTGGGTGTTTTTGCCTTCAATACAGGGTCCTAGTTAAAAACATGGTCCTAGTTCAGGTCTCTCAACCTCTCTTGGATGAATTGGTTCGTTCCCTAGATGTGCCTCTGATGGGTCAAAGCTATCCCCCAACATCCATCTATGTCATCCCCTGTTCAAAAACCTGGAGCATTACCTGAAGCTCATCAAAAAGAAATCATCCCGCGGCGCCTGCGACACGTCTTGCGGCGCAGGCCAGCAGCAGTGCGGAAGTGCTGTTGCGAGGTGCGACGCCAAACGTGCGGGAAGAAGACACCCACGAAGTCACGGTATCCAGTGCCTTCGTGGAAGACTGGAACACGTCCAAATGGCTGACCTACCCAAAAGAGGTTGAACAGCCCTATATATGGCCCATCCCATGTGTACCAGGGTCCTGGCTCAGGTCTCTCAACCTCTCTTGGATCGTGTCCTACCATCAATGATGGTTCTTACCTGTTGACTCAACTGGTCCTACCTGTGACTCAACTGATCCTACCGCCATATCTTCCAATGACACCAATGACTCAAAAGGTTCTACACCTCCAATGGTAATTGAGTCCTTGGCGCCATACCAAGAAGAGCTGGTTTGTGACCTCTTCAGAAGGACCCGGAACACCTGGGGTACCATGGTCTGGGATAGTCGAAGGGGGTCCTGACCCACCTCTGTTCCCAAACACTCCATGGGACTGCTATATATGCCTACATTGACCCCCCTGGCACCAGCCCAACTGATCGGCAGTCCTATGGCAGTGCCATGTGTCGTGTTTGGGGTTGGTACTTCGTCATAGCACTCCCGACTGGCCTTCACTCCGCTGGCAGGTCACAGAACCCGAGGGCAGGTCACAGGACTCCGGTCAGGGGAGTTCATTTGAAGGCGCGATCTCCGGTGAGTTGGGCCCTTCCAAACACTACTGCCCACGACATAATAGTCATACACCATCATACACCCACGTGTGGGCTGGTTAATGGACACCCGAAATCACCTCTAAGGAGCTATCAATAGAACCCGCTTAGGGGGTCCTGGTAGTCATACACTTGAAATCATGGAAGTGAAGTTTGGCGTGCAATGTCGTCCCTTTGCGGTCATGCAGCCTGTTTGGCGAACTGCTCTTGGCCCAATTGGCTGCCCCCAAGAGTCAAACTCTGACCCCAAATTATATAGTTCCTGTCCACAAGTTCAAGGCATTTCCACAAGTTCGCGTTCCCAAACAGAAACCCCAGGCTGCAGGCTGGAGGATCACCTGAGCCATCTTCCTGCTATTCAAAGGCCTCTTCTTGGGCTTGCGGATTTCCAGGAAGCCGGGAAAACCATCAATAGAACAACCATTGACCCGTTTCTGCGGATTCGTCCAGTTCCGCAAAATCAAAGGGGCTTTCCCTGATCGGCACATCCTCCAGATCGACACAACCATAGAGTGTCGAGGGTACTCGCTTGATCCGCAAAACCACAAAAAAAGGCCTAGTCTTTGAAGCCTTCACCAATCCACTACTCACTACTCTTGAGACCACGCCAGGTGTAGTCACTGTAACTACCATGCCAGGCGTCGATTTGTGCAGCGATTTAATCCCATTGGCTTTAAATCTGCGGCCGCCCCGCTGTGTAGTACGGTGGGTGGGAAGCACTCCCAAACCTGAAAAAGCATTGTGAAACAAACACGTGGGGCATTCAAAAGCGTTGAGAAGTGATGGTTAGATGGATGTTCTATGCAGTGTTGGTCGGTCACATTGAACAAGTTTCCAGCATTGGATTGCTGTGTGGGAACGCTTGTTGATGGCCCCCAAGACATGTGGTGTGGGGGAATCAATGCCCAGACTTCAAAACACGTGTGTAAACTTTGCCATTACAAAATCAGGGCTCTTTTAGAATCCCCAGTACCTTGATTCTCTGCCGTGTGTGATACGTACCGGGTCTACTTCACCCACAAAGAGCACATGTTCTGGTGTCATCTGGCGTCCTGGTCCGGAGTTAGCACTCATTGAAGTGAAGAAACTAACTGAAACCGCGCAAAAAAGTTAAAATGATTTAATAATGTAAAAGGCCATCGCATACCTTTTCATTTGCAGCCCTCGTCGTGAGATCTGCTCGAAAATGGCAAAGCTAGGGGAAAAGCTCACACAATTGCAGGCTGATTCGGCTGATTCAGGCCGTCGCATACACATTCCACAAAAATCATCGTGGAAGTGGAGTTCACCCACCTGCTTGGTATTTGGGACATGTGTCATCCCGCTTGCTTGGGGGGCCACGCCATGCCACGGTTCCTATGATTCTTTCGAGCGCAAAGTCAGACGGATCGCCCAAGAGAGTCACTTCCCGGTCGTTTTCCTCGCCCCCCCTCGAAACGCTCTGAGAAGATGAACGTTGGGTCTGATCTTCTCCAGAGCAAGACAAGGCATCCACCGTCCGACTTGGATTGATGAGGTAACATAAGAAACAAGCTGCTGAATGCACGAACATGCACGAATGATATCGAATGATGATGGTGATGATGCACAACGACAAATCCCAAACACTTCATGGGACTGCCATAGGACTGCCGCCCCATTGACCCCCCTGGCACCACCCCAACTAGATGGGCAGTCCTATGGCAGTCCCATGTGTCGTGTTTGGGAATACATAGGCTAGGTTGCCAAAACTCTACGACACCAACCGCCACATTTCCGCGTTTTGATGCCCTCTCCGACCCCAGTCATTGAACAGAGGTGGGTCAGGACCCGACTCTTCGACGCCCTCCCAGTCTGGTACCCCAGGTGGCTACCGGGTCCGGTCCCGGTCACTGGCTACGTAGGCGACACCGACACCTCCGCGTTCGAAAAGGACCAATGGCAGGACACCTGTTGGAGAGTCTCCACGGCGATGGGGTTGAACAACTCCGGAAAATTCAGGATCAATCCTTAGTTCCAACAGAGGTTGAAAGACCTTATAGGACCCTGTAGTGGAACATATGGGATGGGCTATAGGGCTGTTCAACCTCTCTTGGTTGTGAAAAAGAGTGATGGGGTACCCAACTAGGATAGTCGATCTAGGGTTCTGACCCACCTCTGCCGGGTTTCACCTGAGTTTCACCTGGGTGAGTAGCTACCGTCACCGACCTCTCCCCACCGCTACGCTACCTCGATGACACGGTCACCACGGTCACAAGCGCGTTCCAGGCGAGATCCGCAGCTGGGAGGCCGTTTGAAGGACACCATGTTTGAGGTCGTTTGAGGGTGCAAAGTTCCAAGGGGGTACCGTAGAATCCATGTAGAAACTCCTCATGAAGAGAAGGTTGTTACCCATCCCAAAGCGGCAAACTGCTTCGTGGTACCCTCCGTGAAACGGAAGTGGAGCTCACCAGCTGTTTCGTATTCGGAAAGGGGTCTCATAACAGGGGGGTATGAGTCAATATGAGACCCCTTTCCGAATACCAAACAGGTGGTGAGCTCCACTTCCATGATGGTTTCAGGGAGGGTAAATAAAAAGCACAGGAGTGAAGATTGAATGAAAGGAATCCCTCAACATTCTGCTCCAAAGTTCTCTTAGTGCGGACAAGGACAAGGACCTTGACAAGGTCTAAGGCGCCTGAAAGAAGGAACAACAGTGGAAGCATCCGGAGAAAAAGAACACCGAGACAAACACAAATCAGCCAACTGGAATCAACCTGGATCTTGATCTCCTGGTCCCCCATGCCCATGCCCAGCTTCCCTTGAGGATGGCTGATGCATTGAAGAAGCCTCGTCCTGTATGGCTGGTGTCCACTGGATCCATGGGGCTCCACGAGGGCACCGGGCCGATCGCAGGCGGGACGTGAGTGGACTCGCGGCCCTTCTGGAGCGAAAACCGCCCAGCGCCGTCGATGGTTTGAGTCGGGGTCGCGGGGCGTCGGAGTCCAGGCGATTGGGTTTAATGTAGACTCTTGAGGACCATAACCCCCCCCCAATTTGAATTGTACATCCTCTTCATATATGGGGGGGTTAATTAGTCAAGAGTCTATACATTAAGGGACAAGGAATGGACTGAAAATGTAGGCTTTCCCTTAAACCAATTCACTGGTTGGAATCACGGGTTCCCAGCTTGAGTGGTTGACACATGTTGACACCTATTTTCCTGGGACATTCGGAGAGAAAATGAGATGCCAAAGCACATGAGTCATGCACCTAGAAGCGCGAAGATGTTGGTGAGAACCATGACCCGGCTTTCAAGAAAAACATAGAAACACATTTCATTAAGATTCGTTCATGGAAAGCGAAGTCTAGAAGGTGCATGTCCAATTCCAGAACGAAGCTGCATCATATGGAGAAAAACTTGTCTGAGGTAAATGTTTTCGAGAGCCACTCCCACGCTCTGTGCTACCTCACCCAAAGACAGGCTATAGTTAAGGATAAACCCAGTCTCAACCAGAAACAAACGGATGCTTCCCCAGTCCAAGCCACTTCCGATGTAAAGCATCTCAATTGCCGCAGGGGGGCGGCCATTGTTTCTGGTTGGGACGGGGTTTCCAGGAAGTTCTGTGTTAGTGTCCGGTCTTAATTTCCGCCCAATTTGATTACCCAGGGTTCTTCCAAAAGTGTTTCCCCAATGAAGGAAAAAAGTGTGTGAAGTTGGAAATCCATTTCTGCTTGATTACCTCTACCCTCATGTCATAGATGTGGCAGTGATCCTTCTCCTATGAGTCCTATGAGCTCCAAGTTGCCCCAAAAGAAATGCGAAGACTTGGAGCTTTTTGGGGGATGCCACTTGGGGCAAAGAACTTCTGCCTCCAACCATGTAGCCTGCGTCTGTGTCTCCACTCGGGCACCCTGCCACTTGCTTGGCTAAGCGTGCTAAGCGCCGCTCCGCCAGCGACAAAGGCCTTGGTGTTCGGAGCATCTGCTAGACAGGAGGTTCTTTACAGTGGCCTCTTCCAAAGCTACGGGGCTTGGGGAGCTCCTTAGCTAGCCGCCGAACTCCCGGGCCCCCCGAAGCGGCAACAGCTAGCAACAGCTCGTGTTGGGTTCGGACCTCTAAAGGAGCTAGCGGGCCTCGCGGGCCTTTGAGTCGTTGTGACCGAAAAGCGGCCAAGATCGTCTTGAGGCTTATTCCATTTCAAATCCCCAAAGCAAATTACTTCATCCAGCAGTCACAAAGGGGTGGTGTTTAGTCCCTAAGTGAGGGGATGTTCTGGGCACCCCTAACCTCCATTAAGCATCCCTTTGTGACTGCTGGATATAACTTACTTAACCTGACCTGCCTCCCTCAGCTTCCGAACATCGAGCGTACTACCGAGCCGTCCACCTGTTCGAGAACAGGTGGCGTACTAACCTTCACTGTCCCCCGATTTTCGTGCGGGGAAGGCAGTGGCTGGGGAGGTTTATGAATCAAGATTCTACATTATTTTACACAACTTGGAAGCTCCAGTAGGGAAAAAAACTCACGCAGCCATTAGACCCTTTCTCCCCCATAACGGACAAAAAAAAAGATAAAAAAAGAAGATTTTGTAGGGCATCATCCATGTTTGTTTTGGGGTGAGCAAGCATTCAAACAGGGAGACCGACACCAGGCGTTCCCCATCCCCCCCTGGAAGAAGGGAAACTAGACCAGACGACCCAGCCAGGGCCAGGGTGTCTCCCTGAACGCTGCGTAGCAATCACAGTAACACGCCCCGAAAACGCTGCCGTCCTTCTCTTCCGAACCCTTTTTCACCCTTCTGCGCGTCTCATCATGACGTTCCTCCACATCCAGGAGATAGTGATGCTGCACAATTTGCAGGCCGAATGCCAGCCATGCGTGGTTTCCACGCATGATTCCAGTAACTCTCGCACATGTGGAACGAATTATGTGAAAAAGACTTGGCGCAGCAAAAATTCCCTGAGCCCCAATTGACGGGTCTATGACATGAGTATGCAGCAAAATAAACAAGCCGCTAGTCCTCCTGAATTCTTGATCGTTCGCGCCACTCCTTCGCGCATCGCTGCGAGCTAGAAGTTCCAAACGCCAAACAATTACATAGCCATCACAACACTGTTGCCTGTTGCGCTCCCTACTGCTTTCAAAGAACCGGTGAAAGCGATTGAAACATATTGAAACAGGTTCGATGCTTTTTGCACCTTTCAGCTATGCAAAGCCCCTGCTAGGTGTGCGCCAAAGATCATGTAGAATGTAGATAACACTCCCTGAAGCAATCACAAAAGTGGAGCGTATGACCCCTGGAAGGACAATTTTCCTCTACAACCACGGTGTTGTCCACTTCCGTGTTTGGAGGGAGCGTCGTTAGGTCAGTTGAACCTCTTTCTAGTTGGACCTCGGGAATTTTGGCAGCCCCTTCCTCTGCACGCCAACAACACGGACCTCGGTGAGACGCTGCTGAATTGCAGCTCTGCCAGGCGCCTGTCGAAACTGGACTTCAAGAGCATCTGACTTGATACATGGCGTGGCTCTTGCTTAACAATTGAAGCATTAATTGGCATATCTCGTAGTTGATTGCTTCATTGGACACCACTGTAACTCCACCCCAAAGACATCCTTAGACTAGGTCGTTTCATGGTACCATCTATTCTCTAAAATCCATGTATTGGTGTTGGTTTCATAATGACAATATGGCCTCAGACTTTGCAGGTGGTCTGAGGCTCGTCGCCTGCCAGGTCGTTGGAGCAAAGCCTGCTCATCCGCCCCCCTAGACTTCTTTCCCTAGACTTCCGGAATAAAACCATTGGCTGAGCTGGTTTTGTGCAAAAACCTAAGCCCAATGGTTCTTCGGGATGGTGGTGGAAGATCCTGTCCCATTCAACTCCTCGAACCGGGTCGCCGAAACGGGCGACCGCAAGGCCCAGCTGACATCCCAGCTCACCGGAGGAAGACGGAAGGCGTAAAGGCCTGGCCTAGATCTAGTAACAAGAAGCTAAGCTAAGTACCTGGAGTCGACCCGTTCGTACCTCGGAAAATGGGTACAAGTAGCTGTTTTTATGGGGTCATGTGCCATTTTCTAGGGTACTTTGGAGGGCCCAGGTAACAAGGGTATCGCTACTAGGAGCAAGGACCACGAAAGGGGGTCACGCCTGGCTAGGCTGGCGCCAGCTACTGCGGCAGGTCATCTCCGCGCAAGGAGCTATCTAAGTCCACGTCTGCGTCGGGCTCTTCATCTTCTGCCTTAGGAGCTATCTGAGTCTTTTTGTTGGGGGGGAAAAGTGGGATGAGGAGCCATTATTGTGTTGTTTTTATTTAAGGGTTGTGCAAGCAACTGGGAATAGAAGCTTCCCCAAAAGAAGCTAATTCACCCAGAAGGGGGAACAACAAAAAAAACAATAATGGCAACTAGGCTGCAGTCCAATCAAAAATGCCCTGCTTGATCTTGAAGAGCAAATGCCTCATATGATCAAAGAACTCCAAATAAAAAGAACAAACAGCAGTTCTGTCTAACCATGCTGGAGGTTCGAAGTTTCGTCCAGCATCATTGAACCATTCCCAACAAAATGTCCGCCCAAGTGTCGGAAAATTGCACTGAATATACATAGATCACCAGTCATCGCCGATCAAAGGCAACAAACACCTATAGACTAAACTAGACTCAGACTAGACTAGACCTCAGCAGGTGATCCACGCATCAAAACCCGCAGAACGATGCAAAACGGACACCCTCGATGCAGCAGAAACAGCCCAAACAGCGTGGGGCACGGGCCTCCGCTTGTGTATTTGTAGGAAATCCTCCAAGACGATGCACACCTCGCCTAACAAATCCACCTCAATGGTCTTCCCTTCTCGGCCACAGGAAGCCGCACGTACTCCGTTGCCTAGGAGTAGAAACAGCAAGCAGCATTTTCTGGGCGATGGACAGGCGAAACAAGTTGATGAAGAACCTCTTACATTCCAAAGGCTACAAGTAGATTATAGTTACATGTCATGTGCAACCGCCCGGAAGTAGAATACAAACCAATGCAAACACCATCTTTGGACGTCTTTGGCTTCCCCTATCTCTGATTCTATCTACTCCAGGATCACTACAAACATCTTCCCACTACTTATGGGGCATCCACCAAGTCGCTGGCGCCTCGTTGATCTTGTTCCAAAAGTCTCCAAAAGGCCCGAACACGTGGACACAAGACTGTGGATATCTACTGACCATCGGGGATGAGGAACTCCAGATCAACCGGGATGAAGAAGCGAACCGAGAAGAAAACTCTAAGGGGATACTCCGAAGGGCACAGAAAGACCTCAAATCAACAACAACTTGGTATTAAAAATCATCAAGACAGGGAGACCTCCCAGGCGTCCCGGCCCACAAGCGAAGGTTCCGACAAATAAACCAGTCTACCCAGCCATTGGGTCTGGCATGGTATGTCTTACTATTCACATACACACCCACATTGATCCCACCAAAGGGCCCCACAACTGCCGCGTTTCCCTAAGTGACAGTGGTGTCAAGAAGCCCCAAGGGGCCCCAACAACTGCCCCTGAACTTGAGGCCCTGAAAAGAAAGCATGCTGGTAGGTGAACCATTTTTGTTTGGGCATCTGTTCTTTTTGGGACTCTTCGAGAAATCCCTAGGTTATGCACTGACTGGGCAGGAGAAAAAAACAAACATGTCGCGTGCCCGTCATTCGAAACCCACAAGATGCGCACTCTCGACCACAATTTATAGCGGTTTCAAGAATAGATGGCAGAACCGCATCAGATTTTAGCCAATGGTTTTTTAATTGCCTGCACATTGTTCAATACATCCTACATGTCTCTGATATGGTGTCCATATAAACTGCCGACATCAGGGTAACTTGTGCCATCTACGCTCCATCTATATAAGGAGACCTCCCAGCGCGACTGCAAAGAGAACTGGAAATTAGACTATAGTCGATCCCTTCCCAGCTGACTTCCGTTGGACCATTCAATGCATGGGGACAAACCTGGTGTTGCATTGCCGGATCCAAGTCCCTTCTCAGAAGGTACGACTGGACCCTCCTGGCACCTACATAAACAGTGTCTCCAATCACCGTACCTGAGAAGGTACGACTGGATCCCTAGGGTTGCTAGTATGTGCTGGTCACCCATCGTGAAAACGGCTCCGGGCATCGATCAACCCCCCCCCGAAAAAACCGCCGAGCCGCGGAAGAGCACGTGCATCTCCATGAAGCGGTAACCCTCTAAGGTCTCCGCTTCTCGATTGAAGCGGTTGATCTGACGGACCAGAATCATCCTGGGGAGGGAAAGGCGGAGGGTGATTCTGGTGCCAACCAGATTCACAAAAATGGCACAACACCATATGGCACCACCTCTGAAAGGGTGATGTATAGACACCCGACCCCGAAAGGGTGTTGCTGCTAGAAATTCCATCGAAGTCGACTAAGTCTGCTTTTGGCAACTTCGACTCGCTTAAGCCGTCGCTGTAGCCTTCCACCATTCCATGCTAGTAAGAGGAGCCAAGCGAACCAAGCTGACCGGTCCTCGCCCGTCCAGAGGTTGGACCTAGTATGAAGGCTTTCACCGAACCTGCGGGGTTTACAGTGGGGTCAAGAAGTAGATGGCACAAACCCCTCCTTTACAGATGGGGGTCCAAATAAACCGTGTTCAGTCCAAAACCATCCAAAACGATCCGGTTTTTGTTCGGTCGAGGCTATGCCAGGTCCATGGTGCTTCGACAAACCTATAGGGTCTTTTGCCTACAACGATGGCAGCATATGGCAGCAAGGTCCAAGCGACCGATCCATCGAGCGATCCAGCTTCTTAAAGCTTTCCATCAGCTTCAAGACCTTAGTGAGCGAACAAGATGAATGGCATGTTGCACAGCGCCAGGAAGCCTGGCAACTAAAAACACATGCATACTGTATCTGTGTCCCATGCATATAGGATGCACTTACAGGATCTTAAAAGGGGAAAGGAGATTAGATCTGCTTTAGCCAACGCCAGGAACAAGATCAGAGCCAACTCGGAAGGTTTGCAAAGCTGTCGATCTGCCAGAATTCTTCGAATCCGGGGGGGGTGGTCCAACCCTTCATCCCTGCAAAATCATGCGAAATCACTACCCGCATCTCATACCCAGACCATCCATGGGACTGGCATAGGACTACCGGCCCCAGGATACCCCGTGGTCAACCACCCCGTGATGCGGGGTACATATGCGTCCGTCCCATGGATGGTCTGGGAGATATTCACCCTCTGAGAGGGTGATGTGTTCCACACTTTGATGTTGGCGCCTGGAGAGTTCGGAGACGGCAGGCACATGGACCTTTATAGGTTACAAACAACTTCGATGTCCTGGTGGCGGTCCAGGACGGATAGCGGGTAGCATGCCAGGTCCGGTCCAGCATGCTGTGATAAGCTCTGCCTTTCGGACCTTGAGGACCCAGAAAAACCATATAGATAGCAGCCATGCACTCCCGAGTCAACTCACATAGACCCGGGTCCGTCCTGGTCCCGAAGACTGTGCTGACTTCTTAAAAGATCTTCAAAGTTGACAGGTCATCATTCACCCAAATGTCCCGCTCCGCCCAAATCCCTTCCACTTCTCACATCTCTCCCCCTGACAGGTCGGCAGTTCATGGCGCTTCTTCCAAGCCACCGCCTTGGGACTCTTCACCGTGATGCTCCCGCGGACCACGTCCAGGATGCGAGAGGCACTGGAGCGGCCATCAAAGGACTCGGCGGAAGGCACGAAGCCCAAGGTCTTCTCCTTGTGCCGCGTCCTCCTCGGTGTCCGATTTTCGATTTTTCGGAAACCGCGCTGGTCTCGTTGCGCGTCGCCGTGCTTCACAACGTCGAATGCGCGTTCTCATGCGTGGAGGGTGCAGAACGTGCCGCGACGGGCGGGACGTGGTGTGGCGCGCGGCGTGGTGGCGCGAAAAGGCCGCGTTTGGTGGAGGAGGCATCGTCGTACATTTCGGCATGACCATGCCATCCACTTGGTCATCTGCAAGATACAGGATGTAGCCATGCAGTCTGAGCTTGTCCTTTCCCAGACCATCCATGTATGGGCTAGTTACTTCATTAGGGCCATGTATATGTAACTATTCCAGTCCCATGGATGGTCTGGGTTTTGTCCGTCAAGTACCTCTATAACCCTGAGGTTCCCTCGTCGCCGTTATCCACAGCAGACGCTTTTTTTTGCATACATGTCGTCATTTTCCGGCATCGTCGTTTTTGGCCATTTTGGCCATGTCAGCGCTTCATTGGGAGCTGCCTGCGTTCTGTCAGCTTTCAGCCCAAGAATCATTCAATCACACATCAAATCAAAGGGCCAAGCCTTATCTTTCTTCTAGCATGCTTGAGTCTGAGAAGACTTCTTCGAAGGATTCCTCTCTGGAGTTTGAAGCGATGACAACTCTTGGCCAATCCTGCAACATCGGATGTTCAAAATCTAGTAATTATAATGAAATTGTTCAATCTCCTTTTGCAAATCTCATTTGATCTTCATCAGCAAGGGTGTGCTCATAGCGCATGTTATATCCTCGAGCATGGATGGAAGTGATGGCTATGAGGCGCAGTTGCTTTTTGAATTTAATGGGTGGGTTTGGCCAAGCAACGTCGAGACCACATCTCCAACACCTGGTGAAATACAGCCTAGGCAAGGGGGGAGTTCGATCAAAACAGGTGCTATCCAGAAGTCAATCCCAGGTGTTTTTGATATAGGGAGCGGGCATGTGTCTTGGGGATTTGCACCCACTGAAGCTCTCGACGCCTGGACTGGTGGACTCAGAACACAGCTATTGCAACTCTTCATGCATCAAATTTCTGTGCCTGAGGGACAGCCTTGTACAAGCTTTGTAGAGATTAAGGTAACGGATGCCATGGGCCAAGACCTCATCAGCCTCATGTGAGGACCTCATGAAATATGAATCAAGAACCCATCAATGGAGATCATGTCAACATAAACCAAAACTGAGAATGTGTCAGGTATCTTCCCATCCGCTCGATGGCACATAGCAAAAGATTTCCTTCACTCCTTAAGTCCATCAAAACAAGGAAAACACTCAGTAACCTGAAGTTTCCACAAGTTTTAGAGGGATTCCGTATACATTATGCACTGCTTTTTGCACAGTTTTCTGCAACCATGAATCAGGCAACCAGCAACAAGCTGCAATTCTTGATCAGTTGGGCGACGCTGGACTAGGTCACATGCCCGATCGGATAAGAATGCAGCTACCACACGGCCATTGTATGCTTTGCAGGTCATCCACGGCTCTCCGCAATGGTACACCTTTGTGGACCAGGCGAGCCCTGGTTCAGAGACAGCAGCACTTCGCAAACCAACTTTTTGGTGTGGCAGTATTCCCCTTCTCAGTTTGTCACCAGTTCATGATGAAATACCCCAGAACCTGCAAAGGGGGGGGTGCTTACCTAGGTCCTAGTACCATATTCAAGGGTTTCAGGCTGCAAGCTGCACTGACATTCAGTCCAAGCATCAAGCTTTTCAGTGAAGGAGGGCTGAGAACAAGATATCCGATGTTGGGACTTCCAATTCTTGAAGTCCTGGAAGACTGTTTTCAGGCCCTGCTTGAGCGGAGTTGAAGGGTCGCACCAATACCCATGCTTGTACAGAGCCAGCCTTGGCTGGAGAAAACATTGGTGTTCAAAACTAAAGGTGTGTATGGGAAATCTTGAAACATGTAGCCAGGGAACAAACCGGAGGCATTTGTCCTTTGAATTATCCCTAGTTGCAGGTTGTGCGCAGAGCAGAACCGCACCATCTGGCAGTGAAAGCCTTTCACCAAGAACAAAGGACCTGACAAACTTGCGAAAGCTGCGAGGCACTAAAAAACTTGCAAAAACTGTGAGACTTATAGTGACAAACTGCGCTGCCATGCACTGCTGCCACCAAAGCACATGGGTCATTGCCCCTCAACACAGTCGTAGAAAGTCCGGGTGTGAGTATTGGTTTGAAATCCAACTTGCAGTCAAAGTGTAGTCCAACCTTTCACAGGAATCAGCCCTGCACTTAAAGCAGCACTTAGCCGAATTCCACCGCGGGATCAGCTGCAGAGAGAACACGTGCCAGGCCCAGTCACCACGAACTTCAGTTAAGGCAAACCTAGTACCATTCCTGCACAATGGATCCAAGCTGTTTGGAGTGGACCGCCTCAAATTTTGAGGAAGGCTTTGACCAAGATAGCCAGACTCAGGCTTCAGGCCTTCAAACAGCACGTCAAGTGCCCAGCGGATGTACCTGTATACGGCCCAGAGCGTTTTATGCTCTACACATAGCCTCTCCCTGCATGCAAATAGGATGAACCGAGAGTTGCGCGTGGATGCAGGTCTCCAAAGGACGAAGGACATGTTGACCACTACTATTTTTTCGATGAATCCAGCTGAATCAGTATAGCGAGCCTCATCTCCATACAGACTCAGTGGCCAGAAGTAGAAGTCTTGCGACTCGCATCCAGCATGACCATTTCCCCATGGATAATACTCTTTGACATGGTTCCAATATTGCCGGAGATCTTCTGACTTGAGATCTACTCCATGCGAGTCCACCAGGTATTGTACCAATGACAACATGTTGACAACTGGAACCATGGTCTCGATGATTCCTTTGCCCTCCTCTTTGAGGTTGACAGGTGCAGAAACCTCGACAATATCCTGACGCAGGTTGCAAACCTTCTTGCAAAGCTGACCCATAGCTATCCCATCTTGCAAACCCATTTGAATTTGTGTTTGATTGTTTTTGCACATATGCTTTCAATCTGAATCAATATGTAGACTAGACTGGATTCGTTTCAGGGGACCTAATCATGCATGAGTGCATTTGGAGGCTCCACTGGCAGCTTTGCATGCCGCCAGAAATCTCGCGACGCATTCGGACCAGCAAACCGCGCCAGCTTTGCAGTTGCACCACTCAGTTTGCCAGATCCATGGATTCTGGCCTCCTGCCAGGCCCAGTCCAAAAACTTACAAAGCCACGTGCAAAGACACATGCGTGACAAGTTGTTCAACAACATATGGCCTCACTTGCTTTGGTAGCTGCTGTGCATGCTGAAGCCACACTTGCCTCACAATTTCTCCGATGCACACAAAAAGATTGGGCAATGGATCTAAATTATAAGGACAACACCCCACCACCAACTTGGTCTTCAAGATGGTCTCGAAAAGGTGCGGAAGTACCTGGAGCAGATGCCGATATCTGGACAACTATATCTATTCATGGTGCGTGTTTGCTGCCAACTATGCATGCATGCGTGCATGTGTTTTTCTGTTTCCCTGAAGTCTCGTGACCATGTCCAGTCAGAGTCAAGTCTGGACTTTGCTTTCAGTGTTATGACTTTCAGTCACACGGTCCCCCAAAGCAGCCGAGAAAGGGTCAGGTCCAGGCCCTTCTAGATTAATGCAAACGTTAAAGAGCGGCAAACATACAGATGTGACATAGTTTCAAGCTTGGTCCTGCTCTAACTCTCCCAGGCTGTAAACACTACAGCTACAAAAGGCTAACTGACTTGCAGCTAGCGGAGCATCAGCATGAGTGTTATCCCCCAAAATCTTCACTTCGTGGCAGCGGATTTGGCCTTTGCCTTCGCTTTCGGAGCCTTGCGTGCACATCATGACGCATGGGGAATCTGCAGGTTCTTCCTTGGGCTTGGTTCAGTTTGGTGCCTAGATTTGCAAATGTTGGGTTCCGTTGTTTTTGCTGGAAACTGCATGCCTAGTGGCCACGTGCATCATGATCGCCTTCTTTGCCGACTTGTACTTCTTGAGAGATTCATCGATACGGTTGGTCAAGTCAATGACCTGGAGATGTCATTCACATAGCACGTTGATATATACTTGAAATCAGAAGTTGTACGTAGCTACATGACTGTTGAAAAAAGAAGACCCAGATCTAGATGTTTGGGGGCGTTGATTGAGGTATATAAATTTCTGGCAGTTGAATTTGTGTGCCCTTGAGGCCTCGTCATCCTGATCGGTCCGCTCAAGATCATCGCGCAAATCCTTCAGGCTTGTTGACTGGAGGATGGCGTTGTGAACAAGGGCTTCGATCAGCTGGGCACTCCTTGAAAGCAGGAATATGGAAACAGCATGCTGCATGCACTGACTGTTTTTTGATGCCAAATGTACTGACATGTACTGTGTTCAGTCGACTAATCATTTGGAGACATGGGAAAAATAACTCGAGATTTTGGACTTTGCATGGATGTCTTCCAATCGCGAACGGGGCACACTCCCTGCTTTTCCAAATCTGGCTTGAAGGTGCTGACCTCTGCTGCCGCCGTGGCAATGGAAGTCAAGGCCTGCCCATTGAGTTGAGACATGCATTGGGAGATGCCTGTTCAAAGGCACAACATGTCATTGATATTTGTTGATCGGGTATGGATGCCCCATGGCCTTCTTTTTCTTCTTGGCTGGTGGGTCCACAGTCTTGTCAAGTTCCACCGTGACAGCACTTCGCTTCTTGGCCTTCTTCTTCTTGGACAACTGCCTCAATGGCTCCCCCAAAGTGGATGCATATACACATTCCCACGCACAAAGGTTTCCAAAGTGAAATGAAAGAGTCTAGACATTGCATGTTTGAGGCTTTCGAATTCCAATTGTTTGCACATACATGTCCATGCAGCCTCCCGCTTTGATCTCGATCATCGCCAGGGCAACCATCAGACAAGTCGCTCTCTGAGTCCTTGCGCAGAGTGGGAGTGTGGGTACAGGAATCTAGACCAACTGCCAAGTGAGAGCAATTCTAGACCCCATAAATTTCCAGACCCGA